GAAAGCATGGAGCTGTCAGATTTTGACAGGTCCATTGGTTCCTATGGGCCGGAAAAAAAAATTCACCATAAATTAACGGAAAGTCAGATCAAAGCCAAATCAGGCTTGCACATGACTTAGGGGGTCCTCTAACGAATCCAAGCATTTAGAACCGTTTTTGACCCTTCTAAGACACTTTTTAAATTGAAAAAAGAAACATCGTTATGCGAAGCATGGTCCCAAACTTCGCTAAGCAAAAATCGCCCATAGGAAACATCGTTATACGGTGCATATTATTTTCTAAAAAAACACATCATTATGCGAATTCATCGCTAAACAAGGCACTCGTTAAGCGAGGCACCACTGGTATTGTGTATTAGCAGTAGTTTTATGTATATCTACTCTACTGTGTTACCAAGGAGCACTGTAGAAGAAAATGCTGAGAGGAATGCATAAGTCAGAGTCAATGATATGTTTTTTTTTAATCAATAAAAACTTAAAATCAAAAAAGTAGAATGCATATTCTAGTTAAATAACCATGAAATGTTTTCTAAAGATTTGAAAATGCAATGAAAAGAAAGTCTGTCTAAAAAGCACTATATCAATATGTGTGATATTTGTTGATGATCAGTGGTACTGTTGTAAAATGTTTTCACTGTTATGTTTCCCTAATATCAATATAAAAATGACCAAAATCCTATTACTTAGTATAGTAAATCACACTAGATCAGACACACTGAATCAATGAAAATTTACTACACACACACACTACACTTGATCTTAGCCAAAAGGCTGAGAATTTACAGAGTCCTCCTCCAGATCCCATTGGTTCAAATGGACCAGTTTTAACTTCAACTTACTCTAGTAAAGTAAGTCACAGTTAGGCCCATATGAATCAATGGAATTTACAGAGCATTTGACTCTCAAAAGCCCCTTGATTCAATGAGCCTACTCCAGTGTGATTTACTGTGGTAAGCAACAGGATTTTGGCTATTGTGCTTCAGGTATTTTTTGCACTGGATCATATTGATAACTTTCTCCCTTAAACCCATGGAACAAAACAATTCAATTATCAACTATTACGTTATGCCATATCCTATCAGCTGCAATCCAATGAGAACTGAATATACAAACTTTTATCTGATATACTATTATTTTATGCAGTTTTACTAATACCAAGTTGGACCAAAAGTTTTCCAGTAAAGAAGCATCAGTGAATTATTTGTTTTGTAAAGAGGATAAAATCTTTTTTCCTTCCTCCGATTTCAAACCTCCACTGCCTTGTGGCTATATCCATTCATGGAAAAGGCTTCAGGAGTTAACCTCGAGGCAAAATCCGGAGCTGGAGTCCCGAAGGCAGCATGTGTCGTTCTGCCAATTCCTGCGACATTGCTGGAACCAGTTGTATTGGCTCTTGCCTTTCCATTGGATCATTTCAGCAATGTGGAGAGGGGGGATCTGCTGCTTGGGTAACAGCCTATCCTCCATATTACCTTACCCGGGCTTCATGCTCTGGAGAGCACACTCCTCGATTGAGAGCATGTTACCATAGTCTCTTGAGACTGAAGGATGCCTATGCGAAAATCTTTAAAGTGAAAAGTATCACAAGACCTCTTTCCTCCAGGTAGAGTACTTTCTGCTGGATCCCTGGTCCACTTCACAAATTAAAAGGAACACTGTATTAATAGAGGGGCAAGAAATAAACCACTATATATGTGACTTGAAATTCAGTTCAATATACAGTATTTCTGAGTTTTAATACATGCACTGGCATATATATCATTCACAGAATAACCACAAAAAGAACTAGTACTGTTCTTATGTTATCAAAGCGCAAGCAGGGCTCTGGAAAACCTTATAATCATCTGTTAACAATTTGATCATCTTGTAAACAAAAACAAAGGATATCAGATCGCATTTTCTATAGCTGTGTATTTTACTTTGCAAATGAAAAATTTAACAGCAGTATAATTTATGGCAAATATTTACAAATAAGCTAAAAATTCACAAAATATATTTCCTTCCACACAATACCTATCTTCAAACATAGTACTGTATTTACATTAAAAGCACATCCAATACATATATGTAGAGGTATACCAAACAGGAACATCCAATATCCCTTTTATTCCATGATGTATGAAATCTAGTGTCTCTGCAATACAAGAAATCTGATGTAAAACAGTATTTTCATTATCCTTTCAGAATGACATTTATCCTAATCATTGTAAAATATAATCTGTTGAGCTTATCTAAATGAAAATATTGTCTGGTTTTCCCCATTGGAACTGTACATAACAGTCCTTCGTGTGGCACTAGATTGTCAGTGCATAGTTTTCTAATGTGTCACCTTCTAAAGTTCTCCTTAACAAGCCCATCAACTGTTACATTGCTATCTTCAGTCTTGGTGGATCTATTGCTGGTCCACAGTTAGAAGCATCTAGTTGATTATAGTCCTTTTTTAAATCTGACAAAGAGGAGAATGCTTCAGAGAAACAGCTTTGCTCCATGTCATCGATGTGGAGATAATGATGAAGGTGAGCCTGCATGAATAAATGTTACTTAATCAAATAATTTGCTGGAAAAACTGAACAAATGACTGTGTTCTCCCAATTTTGGAAAGGAGTTGTAACCTTGATATATAAATGTGGGCACAACTAAATGGGGGAATTTGGAGTTGCGCAGGTTGCATTTAAAAGGTTATTTGGTGCAATCTATTTTATTTTGCATTTGAGGAATCCTTCCATTCACATACATGTTTCTTCTCCTGCGAGAAGGATCCAGGCAGAACTTCAGATCATTCCAATTTCGCCCCTTTAAATTATTGAAACCCCTCCCCTACTCCTGTTCTCACCGTTTGGTGTGGCTATGATTTTGTGGGTCGCAGCAACTTCCCTTTTTTGGTTTCATTTAGTAAGCAGCATAGTGTTACAGCAATATATCACTCTATCTTGGATATTCCCTTATATCTGAAATAGCGCAGAATCATTTAGGAGAATATTTTAAAAATCTGAGAAGATGAAAATATCCTTTTTACTGTCACAACCAACTGCACAAGCCACAAACTGAACATAGCTGTATTTGGGAGTGAATTAAGCAACCACAGCAGAACAGGATGATCAGGAGCACTCTAAATCTGCTCCAATAAACTGCAGCCCTAGTGTTATGCTAGAAAGAAGCAGAACAGCTTGCAAAAGGGGCCGGATGGATCCCTTTTACTTGAAACACATGTGGTCAGTGGAAAACAGAGTGAACCAAATAGCAAGCTATATGCTTGTCTGATCAGCCCTATGTCCCTAATAAAGAATATAGTGAATATAGATTTTAAAGTAAGAAAATAATTCAGAACAAGAGAGAGAGTGAGAGGAAATCAACATGGAGCAAAAAGGTATCTTTGTACAGTGGTGTCTCGCATTATGACGTTAATTCGTTCCAATGAAATCGCTGTATAACGGAAACGTCGTAAAGCTATATTAAGAAGCCCATAGAAACGCATTAAAACCCGGTTAATGCGTTCCTATGGGCTGGAAACTCACCGTCCAGCGAAGATCCTCCATAGTGCGGCCATTTTCGGTGGCTGTATAGCGAGGAATCTGTCCCAGAAAACAGCGGGCAGCCATTTTGTTTAACCGGTGGCCATTTTGAAGCCGCCAATCAGCTGTTAAAAAATCATTGCTTTGCGAGAATTGGTTCCTGAAGCAGGGAACCAATCATCGCAAAGCGAAATTCCCCCATAGGGAACATCGTTTTGTGATCGCTTTTGCGATCGCAAAAACATCGATGCCAAGCCATTTCATCGTCAAACGGAACGTTCGTCTTGCAGGGCACCACTGTACTTCATTTCTTTCCCCACAGCCAGTTCTTATCTATGTGTATCTGAATCATAAGCAACAGCCATTCCTGTAGTTTTAAACTGTATTTCATTCCTTTCAGAAGTTCAGGCAAAATGGAGAGAAGCAAACATTAGTACAGGGTATTCGATACGTTTTTCAGTAAGGACAATAAAACAAGTACAGATGACCTAGTTAAAATGACTTTTTCAACAACGTAGTTGTGTTAGCCTGTTACAGCAAAGCCATTTATACAGTATGGGGATGGTAGTTGTGCTATGGATGAAATCCTGTTGTGCAGTTATTCAAATGACGTAACTTTTAGACACAAATTGCTGTAAATTATGAAATCCCCATATTACAGTGGTGCCTCGCTTGATGAGGATAATTCGTTCCGTTGAAATCGCTGTTAAGCAAAATCCTTGTCAAGCGAAACGAAAAAGCCCATTGAAATGCATTGACAACTGGTTCAATGCGTTCCAATGGGCTAAATACCTCAGCATCCAGCAAAGATCCTCCATGGGGCGGCCATTTTCGTTGCCTGTAAAGCGAGGAATCTGTCCTAAAGCACAGCGGGGAGCCATTTTGCACAGCGGGCGGCCATTTTAGAACCGCTGATCAGCTGTTTTAAAATCATTGTCTAGCGAAAAATCAGTTCCCGAAGCAGGGAACCGATCGTCAAGCGAAATTTTCCTATCTAAACATCGCTTTGCGATCACAAAAACCTCATCATAAAGCGGATTTGTCGTCTAACAAGGTAAACGTCAAGCGAGGCACCACCGTATCTGTTAATAATCTGTTGCACGCTGAGTATTTATCTCTTTTCAGTTTAGTTTCGTTTTTGTCTGATATTTGCATGACTCAGTATACAACAGATGTTGACAGAGATTGCTTATATTATGACAATTCACATATTGTGTAACTGCACAACAGGATTTCATCCCATGTTTAAATAATCTTTTCATCCTGAATGAATGTTTTTGATCATCTATTACCCTTAAGATATCTATCTATCATCTCCAAAAACATCCAGTTTAGAAGTGCAGTTGAATTGCTCTAGACATGAACGAAGATCTTCAAGGATTGCTAACCGCCTTTAATGACCACTGATTAACCATCACCATGCTGGACCTATTGCCTTGCTATTATATTTCATACTCCTAACCACTTTTAGTATAGACATTCAGTATAAATATGTCTATTGAAGCCACTCTTTCCATCTGAAGAAGTCACACGTAAGTCCATGAACGCTTATATCAGTTAAAACTTGATAAAAGTGCCACAGAACTCATTTTAGTTAATTTAGTTTTATGACACTATTAACTTCTTACACTGCAGCATATCTTTTTTTTGTACAGCCTCATAAATCTCTCCTTGAGCTCTATGAAAGTAGGCTTCACACAGGTATTGTTGGCCAACGCTAGCAAAGAGTGGGAATGGCCCACAGGAGGTACTGAACACAAACCAGTTTTCCAACCTTCTTGGTTCCAAGAGACAAACTGAAGTGATGGTTTCAACCTGAAATAGGCAAAATTGGGATTATCATAAAGGAAAGCAATAAAGCAAGTACTATACCAAGCATAAATGTTAATAGTAGATTTTACTACTGTGTTCCCTGAAAACAAGACAGGGTCTTATATTAATTTTTGCTCCAAAAACATGCATTAGGGTTTATTTTCAGAGGAAGTTTTATTTTTTTCATGTAAAACTATCTACATTTAAATACAGTCATGTCATCTTCTTCTGGTTGATAAACAATGATGGATGGTGGGGTTTCACTTAACTGGGGCTTATTTTTGGGGTAGGGCTTATATTACGAGCATCCTGAAAAATTACACTGGGGCTTATTTTCAGGTCAGGTCCTATTTTTTGGGGGGGGGAAAGGGTATTTGTCCTCAGTCACACTTTCATGTTATTTCAGCAGTAAGAAAGCCACTGTACAGTTAAATACTCAATTTATTTGTTTGTCTAAGTTGTGCTCAGTTTTCAAGATATAACATGGATGGCATGTTATATCTTGATTTCTAAAGCATCTATATATGAACAAACTATATACAATATAAGGCTGTAGTATTGCATGTATACAAAATTCTCTTTCAAGAAAAATGTGACTTATAAGATTACTGAAAACATGATTTATGTGGAAAAACATGTAACTAGCAGAGGATTTTGTCTGTAAAGTTAATCCTACTCTGTTTAATTTGAGAGACCTGTTGGACAGAAAGGAATTGAACAAATGTCTTAAATTAAAAAATAAATAACGTTGTGTGCAAACCTTTCAATATTTCTACGAAGATCTGAAATCTGCACATTTCCTCTGACGAGTAAGGCACAGGCAAGATACAAGCTGTGTTTTGGGTCAGCTTGTAACAGCTGGTGATCTTTGCTAAAAGCATCTGAAAACATTTGGTCCAGTCTAAGAGACAGAGAAAGAATACTTCACAATGCTCAGCAGTATTAGCAGCATCATAAGAATTTATCAGCTACGTAAGTTCTGGATATGTGCCGAGTAAATAAAAGTAGAACACTGCTATGGATACTTGAAAAATATGTTGAAGCTTTGAATAACAGGAAACAAAAAGATTACTTTATTCAATTTTTTAAAATGGATCGTCCTATGTCGATGTAATTTCATTTTCAGATAGCACTCATTTCTCATTTCCATCAAAAACAACATTTTAGGACACAATAAGGCTCTTTTTTGCTTTTGCTGCAACAAGAAACAGAGCCACCCCAGTGGAAATCTTTACAATGTCCAACCAAGTTACTCACCTTCGAGAGGGAACATTAACATCAGCCAATGTATATAGAGGAGTCAAACTGGAAACAAGATAATGAAGTTGAGGAAAGGGGACCAAATTCATACTGATTTCATTAAGATCCATATTAAGAGAGCCTTCAAACCTAGCAGAGCTAAGAGATAATGCAATAGATATAAAAACTGTTTGCTACTGGATAACTTATTCATTTGTTATCTTTCTAAAAACATATGAAACTTGCATTTTTTCTGTCTTGAATATTTGTTGATTCACACATGCATGTTACTTAACATCTGTTCTTCATGTTTTTCACTAATTTTAATTATTTCCCAGACACTGCCAAAATGAAGTTCATAATATCGTCCTAAATGACTACAGGAGACTCCATCATATGCTCCAGGAAATGCTACACATCTTTCTCTCATCCTAATTATTAGTGTTTTTATCCTGTTGTTATCTTTGCTGTACTTCCCTTACATAGCCAGTACTTTTTAAACTAAACATTTCAGACATAGAAAAGGATTAAAATGTCTCCTAGACACAGATGTTGCTATTCTGTGCCATCACATCATCTTCAGCTTGTAGCAACTCTTGAACCAGTAACTTACAAAAGATCCTATTATTAACATGACTCAAGACTGTGGCTTCCCTTATTGAGTCAATCTACCTCATGTGAGGGGTTGTTCTCTTCCTACGGCCTTCTACTTTTCCTAGCATTATTGACTGTTCCAGGGAGTCTTGTCTTCTTATGATATATCAAAAGTATAATTTTAATAATTTACTGTTCAATAATTTTAGCTTCTTGTAAGAGTTCAACATTGATCTAATCAAGAACCCACTTAGTTGTGTTTCTGGTGGTCCACAGTATATATAAAATACTATAATTTTAAATGAATTATTTTCCTTTCTGCTTTCTTTGCTATCTAGCTTTCACATCCATATATTGCAACTGAGTTTACCATAATGGTTGTTATCCACCAAATTGATCTGATCCTATTTCTTTTATGGATATGATGATCTCAGTCTGGATAGGAGTGGGTACACTAAATAAGGAAGGAGTCACTGTTTAGGCTGTATTTTAACACTTTTTTAAAAAAAGCATATCAGTCACTAAGCCCTGGCAAAATGTCTAACAACAAACCTGGAGGTTCTCTGCTGGACAGTAAACTGTGGACATGTGCAGAAAAGGCAATGGTTTCTACATACTGGGGATCTTTTGAGGCTCACTGTCTCCCAGTAGAAGGAACCATTTTGGGGGTGAATACCCTTTGACCATCGGCCATTTTTGCTTGAGGGGATTTCTTTCAGTTCAGCAGAAGGAAAACGAGTAAAAAAACTAAGGAAAATAATCTGAGGACAAAGCATGCTCAATGGTCTTCTATGGTCTAAACACAGTTGAAAAAAGTAAAGTAAGGTTGGAGAATTGGTAAAAAGAACTGAGCTGCTCAAGCACACAACCATTTCTGTACAGCAGTGGATATGAAATATGAAAGGTTAAATAGTTTCCCCTTCTTGTGTTGTATAATAGTAGTCCCTCCTCCTCGCCTGACTTTGTCAGATTATTTTTACTACCTGCAAATGAAACACTGGCTTTGTTGGGTTGTGGAAACTTTTCAAAGGCCAGTTCTCAAAGATTAAAATGAATCTGTGTAACAATGACTTGTTTTCTGATTAGGATTTTCAAAAACTCACCTTGTCAAATTCAACAGTAAGTTAGCCACAATATTATTCATGGCATCGAAGGGCTTCTCCTGATTATGGTTTACTGCACCCACACTTGAAGTCAGCAAGCTGGTTTGCTTTATAGCTGATCCTAACTTTCCAGAGTTGGTCATCTGATTTATTTTACTAACTATATCAAATAAAGACTTGGTGGGAAAATCAGTGAAAAATGTGTTAGAATATACAACATAGTTATTGTACATCTCTATGTGTAAACATAAGTAACTAAACGTATACAACAAAAATACGTAGGGTATCTCCGAAATTTAAAGTCCAAATATATATTAGGATGATAAATGCTGCAAACAAAGTAGAAACTGCTAAATTTGTTAACAAGCAGAAAATAAAGAAGAGCATTTCCTTAAACTCCAGAGATCCTGAAGGCTAAATGCGAAGAAAGATGGAAAGAGGTAATGTTCTCCACGAAGGGAATTCTACAATTTTAGTCAGAGGTACTGTACTGAGATTTGGAATTCATATCCAGTGTATTACATTAAACGGAGGGGCCTGTAACAAGACTCTGAGAAAGATCACAGTGATCATGTTTTACAAAGCCTGTTCTTGTAAAAGGAAAATATCACAGCTAAAAGGAAAGGACTCTAGAACTTCTGAGATAGTCTCTGCTGTCTCAGCTTGGGGTTGCAGAAGCTAGTTCTCTGTTACTTTCACTCTTTGCTAAGGAGCAACAGGGTTTTCTGCCTTTTAATCAGAGGAATGTTTGTGCTTTCTGTGTTAAAAACACACCTGTTACCATGCACTCCATCTTCCTCAATATTACGACCAGTGGTTAATTTTGGACCTATGCTTCCAACAATGTAGGGCATAGCTGTAGGGTTGTTGTTGTTGTTTTGAATAATATGAGTCACTTTTTATTCAATATCTAAACTCTTTTTCTGACAATTTCTACTCAATTGAAAACAGTAATTTATATGCAATAATTCAAAGTACTGTATCTGTATAAGGGATTAACCTTTAGGTTTATCACTATATAAAACACATGCAAAACTATACTTCCTACATAATACTCAAGTGACATATATTCTTACTTCATTTTCAACTGGCAATACACAATCTGCATGGTCACTGAGTTCCTTCATAGCCAGCACACTGTTGTAAGGAGATGTAATGACATCATCCTCACGAGATGGATAAACTGAAGTAACAAATCTATATACTTCTGGAAATTCATCCTCTAGCACCTTTAGCAGAAACGTCCCAAGACCCGATCCTGTGCCTAGAAACAAGAGAAAAACAGTTACAGTGACAAACCACAGTATATGGAAGAAGTTCTGTTCCATGTTTTCTTTATTTGTTGCTCTGTATCCCTACAACTTATGAAACAGGTTTAATCTTTTTCACCGTTCACCTATGAGTATTCAGGTTGGGAGTTGTTGGCATCATATGTATTAGAAAACGTACCCTGAACGGCTAAATTAGCTATTCACAGTGAACATTTCTGAGGTTTTTTTTAAAATAATACTTTGACAGGGATGCTAGGAAAAGAGGAATCTGAACCACTTTGGATTTATTCAGGTATTCAGTTAGATGGCTCTCACTGTATGAGAGGTGTATGTCAGTCTTGACCTTCCCATCTAGAGATCAATAAGAACTTTGTGTTTAATATGCTTGTAACCACTATAAAAACTTCCAACAGTTTTATGATCAAGAGGACTGATAAGAAAGGTTCCTTCTCACAGGAGTACTTAAGCATGCTATTGGCTAGGGTTTTGGCTGGACAACTCTCTTATAAAAATCTTGTTCTAATGGTCTGGTGGCTTTAAGAATTGGACTAAACTACAGAGATCCCTAGGGGATGTTCTTGGAACAAAGGCATAGTGGGAAGGGCAGTCTCTGAGATCACTTGTGTTCTGAAACAAATGTACTTGGATACCACTTTCCCCCTCATACCTTGGTTCTGAAGACCTCCTCTTGGAAACAGCACGGAAGAAAACGAGCTGCGGTTGCAGAGAGGCAGCTTCTTTATACAAAGACTTGGGCTTCCTTCACTCATTTCTCTTGTGGCAAGGCGCACCACATGGACAGGAGATCTGGTTGTGTGTGTTTTTTTAAAAAGCCACTGAGTGCATGGGAGGGTGCAGTGGGGCAATGACATCCTCTGCTGGGATGCTCTGTGCTGTAATCAGTGCTTTAGGCTGCTAGTTTTAATTCAGATGAAACAGGAGGGAAACACAGTCCAGCCCCAGGTTTTTGTGGCCCACAGCCCCCCTTTTTTCTGGCAATAAGGTGATCTGTGTACCAGAGTGGTGTTTCACATTTTAAATAGGCATTGTAAAACAATGCATCCTCAAGAGTGGTAGGGAGATCACATGATATGACAAACAGAAGCCTTTCACTTCTTGAGGAAGCACCTTTTCTTAAAATGTACTACCGTAAGTGAATCATCCAGGAGGGCAACACTGGAAGGTCTGGAGGTTAATTATCTTTCTAATTACTACACCAGACCCCAAAGGAAAAAAGCGTTTGAGAAATCAAAGCAAAATGTTGCTGGAAATCCATTTCTGGTTTCATTTTTCTGGACTTGCAGTCCATTTCACTGTAAAAACACCACTCAATAGAGGCTTTCAGAGGCATAAAAATGTCTTTGCAGAACTATTTTTCTCTAAGGAAACACGTAGAAGCTGCAAAAACAGCGGGTGTGGGGGCGCATGAAGTCCTGGTCTAGCTTGATCCTCAGATGCCACTATGCTATAAACTATTCTCTAGAAGATACAGTTCCAAAAACAATATTCTGAAAGAAGTATGGGTGAACAATTCAGGATAGTGGTGACCAGACCTATGATTTCACCTATACTGGAACTTAGAATGACTCATCTCCTGCCCACATTTCACATCATGGAAAACTCCATGGGCAATAATACCTCTCACTTTGGGCTGGGTAGCAGACAGACAAAACTACCCCTTTTAAAGTCCTCTGTCATACACTAAGCATATGGGGAAAAGAAAGGCTTCATATCTAATCCTGTGCTGGGCTTTGGAGGAACTAAGTAGCAGGGAGAACTCTATAGGTATGTCAAAGGGCTCAAAGGAAGATTGACCTATTGCAGACCTATTGCAGCTAACTTTTGAATTAGAGATCAAGATGGGAAATAACACAGATACTGTAATTCAGTTTGGAAACATGAGGTATCTGACTTGTTAACAAAGGTTAGACCTCTAATCCACTATAGATACCTTAGTAAATATCATCTTGGAAGCCAACGAAACAATTCATAGTGATTTCGCCATTAATTTTAACTACTTAAGTTTTTAATTTATATATATATTTGGGGTTACTTCTCTATTGAACTTCTTAGATTTTCTGGGGATCAGGCTGGACTTACCTCCTCCCATGGAATGAATGACAAAGAAACACTGCAGACAGTCACAATGCTCTGCAATTTTTCTCAGCTTTTCAACAATTTGCTCTCGATATTGACAGCCATATACTTTATGACCCACAGCCCTAGAAACATGAGATTTGTTAGTATGCTATCCTTCCGTTCTGAAAATGCTAGTTTATTCATAATGGGATAGATCCACACTGAGGGACATGAAACAGTACTGCAAAAGCAATTTTCTTTTTTCCATTGCACTTTACTGCTACTCTTCCTGCTTCATTTTCTTTTTCCCTAGTCAAGAAAGGAAAAGGCCTGCTTGTACGTCTAGAGCTGAGCTCTGTATCTAGGGACACTTTTTTCTCCTTTGAAGAAAAAGAATTATGCTGAAAAAATAATTAAAAAAATCCTGAATACAAAATTATGTATGACCATAATCTAAAAATATTGAGAAAAGAAAGGTTATGAAATGCATAACAAAAGAAATACAATGGAATTTCTACAGCAATAGAAACATTACAGGAAGGGGCTCCACAAGCAGCTTGGGCCTTTACAATCTAGTTTAAAATTTTATTCAGTAGAAATATCATCTGCAAAGCTGATGGGTTTAATGGATTGATTCTCCTAGCATAAACTATTTTTGCCAGCTGCACACATGTCTTTTTTCCCTTTTCCCTTTACTGCTCTATTAGGTAGTTGTGGTATAGTAAACAGAACGACAGACTAGGACTGGAGAACAAGGTTCGGAACCCCATTTGGCCATGGAAAATCACTGGGGAATTGGAATTGGTAAAACTGCTCCTTAAATATCTCACTTACCTTGAAAACTCTATAAGTTGGTTCCAACTCGACAACACATAACAAACTATTTGATAGTTAAGATTTATAGAAGAATTTGGTCATTTTAAGTTTCTTGTCAACTGTCCCTATTGTGATTATAGTAGAAGGGCACAGTGTAAAACCTCTTAAATAAACACACTGCAGATTATTTGGATTTGAGAGCTTCCAAACATTTGGTCAGACAAACGTAAGTTTACATAGGCTTTCTATCCACCCCAAGGCCATGGAACATCCCTAAATGTCCTCATAGCTCCATGAAGCCATAAAAATTGCCCTTTAGGACATAGTAAAAAGGAGATCAAAGGCATATCTGATTGTATACAAACCTTTTGGTTTAGATTGAGTGTATTCTAAACTATACATTTGATAATTTCAGCAGCATCACTACAGTAGTTTTCTGTTCACACTGAGGTTTTCAATCACATGCCCAGGAGAAGACAATATCAAGGTGTAATATCAAGATGTAACCATCCATTATTTTATTAAGTATTTTTTTCAGTTAATGATCAATAATTTAAATCTTTTAATTCAATAATATTAAGAAGTTAATTTTCCTATTATGAATTTGGTCTCCTGACACTTTGGGATGAATACTACTACTGGTTTACACTTCTGTAAGGGAAACTGAGTAAAACTGGGACAGCATATTGACATGCATTGATCAGATGCAGAGTGTGTTTCTGGGTGTGTGCCAAGAAACTTAATTAGCACTTGTTTAAGAAGCAACAATTTGTTGTAGTGATGTTATGACTTCCTATATGCATGCATATACTGCCAATATGATTCTGGCAGTTTTTTCACTGATTAGAACATAGTTAGAATTTCTTTGTACTTTGGCACCATGGTATTGAGGTGCTTTATTTAAAATCCCCCTTGTCACTATAGAACCACTTAATGGTATTAGTATAAATTTGGGATTTATTTGACCTAAAAGATCCATCTGTTTCCTTTCGTGTTTTTGGCCAGCTGTTTATATTCCTCATCAGATTATCATCTGAAATAAAGGAGCAGTTCTAGGAGCAGATGAAGGTCTAGATGACTGACATCAGATCCTGCCCCAGCTGGCCTCTTCCTTCCCCGACAGTGTCAACAAACTGTCCTGTGGGAAATATTCAACTAGACAGAAGGGAGCAAGCAAAGATGTTAGGTGCCTGCTCTTGTTCCAGTTATACTATGTCTTTGAGCACAGACATCTCCCATCTTGTGGAAAGGACCCTGGCTAGCTGTACTGTTATAACTATTTATATGCTGACACCTTTTATTGTGGTTTTCTAACACAATAAAAGGGAGTTTACAAAATTTGTTAAAAAAGAAAGAGAACCACAAAAGAAAGACATCTTGGCAGAATGAATATAACTTTTTAAAAAGTTTTCTTCAACATAACTGTAGTTAAATGCTAAGGTTAACATTACTGTAGAAAGCAGAAAAAATGGAAACACAAACAGTCCTCCTCTCAGTTTATTTCTATCTTCTTCTTTGTCATCATCATTTCAGAACTACAGAGCTGAAAGGGACCCTATGGGGATCACGGAGTCCAGCTCCTATCAAGGAAGCACAGTGCGGAATGGAACTCCCAACCTCTGGCTCCGCAGCCAGATCCTTAAGCCACTGAGATATCCACCAGTTTTATGTATGACATTTCTATATGAAAACCTTTCTATAGGAAACAGATACTGTCCTTACCAGTTGTTTCCTGAGCCAGAAACATCTGTGATTAGCTGCCTGCTATCAAAGACATCTCTCAGTGGTCCTTGCAGAATTTCATTAACTACACCCTCTTCCATGTCAATGAGCAAGGCCTTTGGGAGTGGAATAAAAACATTTTATACTCACTAAGAATCCTTGTCTTTAAACACTTGCATACAGTGAATAAAAATGAAAGAAAAAATATTTCATTTGTTTCAGCTATTATACCATCACCATAATGTGCCCTCAAGTCAAAGCTGACTAATGGCAACTCTTTTCAGGGTTTTCCAGGTAGAGAAGACTCATTCCCTTCCTTTGGTGTCCCCTGGGACTGTGCAGCTAGCTGAAGGCGACACAGCCTGGCTCTTCTTTGGGGAAGCACAGTGGGTATTGAACTCCCAACCGTTGGCTTTGTAGCCAGTTAGTAAAACCACTGAGCTATCCAGCTAACTTGAAAAAGTGTTTCCTGATTTTTATTGGTTTGGAATGCAATTTAATAAAGGATAATTTTTGCTATTATGCTTTTGAGCAGTTCAAGAACTGAATGCAATGCAACATACAGAATAAAATGATGTAATATAATTTTTCAATTACTAAAAGAAGCTCTTGCTAAAAATAATCAAGATGACTCCTATGACATCTCAGATGTTCCAGGATGTTACATATACAGTGGTGCCTCGCTTAGCGATCGCTCTGTTGAGCGACGAAATCACTTAGCGATGGGGTTTTGGCCATTGCAAGAGCTATTGCTTAGCGATGGTCCCTATGGGGAAAAATCGCTTTGCGATGATCACGGGGAAGCGATCATGGCAAAGCGACCCTTTTAAACAGCTGATCGACGGTTTCAAAATGGCCACTGGAAAAACAAAATGGCCGCCCACTGTGTGTCCTCGCTTTAGAGGCACCGAAAATGGCCGCCCCTATGGAGGATCTTCGCATAAGGTTAGTTTTGAACCCCATAGGAACGCATTAAACATGTTTTAATGCGTTTCTATGGACTTTTAAAAATCGCTTAGCGATTAATAGCAACATTTTTCCTGGAACGGATTAATGTTGCTAAGCGAGGCACCACTGTAACTTTTAAAGTATTCTCATCTATGTGCTTTCTAGATTTTCTTCTCATCTATGCTCTGATTAGCATCTCTGATTAATCTTCTTAATTTTAAGCAATGGCATTCAAGGCAAGAGTGCTTCAACAGCAGTTAATGTAGATAAAACAAAAGGGTACTGCTCAGTCAATGCTAGTACACTACAAAATGGCATTTGCTTTTCTTTACATTAGGATGCTTGTCACTAAAGAATATGTGGTATTCCAATATTGCATGCACTTATCATTTGCTTCTCTGATTTGCTTTTCTTAATTGTTAACATGTATGCTTCTGTAAACCATTTGATTGGATCCAAACTTAGTCAAACTTAGAGAAAATCCAGAAAAATCAATGTGTTTTAACTTAGACATAGTGAACTCACTTGTTTCAATGGATTAAGTCTCAACAATGACTAAAGCTAGATCCAATCCATTATCTTCAATTTCCTGTTCTCAGTTTACCTATAGTGAATCTGAAACAGCGATCCAGATATGTTAATAATCTATCATGCACATTTGAGATTCCTTGTTTCAATTATTATGTATTTAGTTTTGCATTTTCTTCCTCTTTACAAATAGATGCAGAGATCATGCTGGAGTCGGTACTTGGAATACTGAATGGTGTTATGGGTGTGCACATTGATTTTCCTTCTAATTTCCTCAGCCTTCAAGGAGGTCTTACACTGCATCATCTTCTCCCCCATTTTTGAAAATAGGTTCTGGATATAAATAATTTCACATGATAGAATGATGCTCTAAGTGCTGGTGTTAGATTTCATTTCAATATTCTAAAGTTCATCCCAAACAAAAGGAAAGCAGAATCATCATGTAAAACTAAAGCCCTCAATTTGCTTTCTAGTCATATTCTTACATACAGAGACAGTCTGCAAGCAGAATTTGTTCTCCAGAACAACAACTGTATTATTGGATTTCAATAAACATCCCTTTCAAAGAATGCTGAGTGTGCTTTAAGATAAAACATAAACGATTATGGGCCATATCATAGGCTAACAAACAACTGAGATTAATATAATTAAACTTTTCCCCTTACACGTGCTTTTAAGGAGCAGATTTTTCCTCTGCAAATGTCAGCATCATCACCAACTGTTCTATAAAAATCAGAAATCAAATTAATAAACAAAGTTATAGTAAAGGACCACATATGAAGTGTCAGGATATTACAACTCTTCCCTATTTCCAATGAAGCTTAAAATTATATTAGAAAGGAAAGGTACAACAAGAACATACATAAAGATAGCTATCTTGTTAAAGAAGGATAACATTTAAAAATACGAGATATTTTCTTGGCATGAAAGGAAAAAGAGAAGGGAAACCACCACCTGCTTAATTTTTGCAGTCAAGCAGACAAAGGATTAGGGTCAATTAAAAAAAATCTGACATGCCTAACAACTGTTATCTTAGTCTCAGGAGATACCCTGTAATTTTGTTTCAGCAAACTGCAAAGTGAAGTGCTAACAGCCTCATCTCATCAGCTGCCATGAAGGAAAAAAGAACTGTTTTCCCACTGCAACATGAGAAGTAATGGGATTGCTTATCACAGCTGCAACTACTGTATATCACAATCACAACTCAAGTGGTGAAGCAACAAAACTGTGCAAGCCATAGAAAAATCTGATTTGGGCTCAGAGAGAGTTTGGTGAGGTCAGGATATAAAGATACCAAAGAGTGCTCTGTGACATTTCAAATATCTACAACCCCCCCCCCCCCCAAAAAAAAGAGATAAAGCTCTAATCTCATACCACTTACTTTGGCAAAAGCCCTATTGAACTAAACGGGGCTTACCTTCCAGTAGATAGCTCTTGTGCTGCCAAAAGTGATAGTAACTGGGATGTAATTATTATTCATATAATAAATTCAAGGACAGTATCTTATATGATATACACAAAATATTAATTTCCTTAGAGCAGTACAAAAGCAGGTCCCTACCAACTGTAAATAGTTTAAAAAACACATTTAATAACTTGTTTGTAAAAAAAGATCTTACCTAGTGTTCACATTTCTAAAGAAACTGCTTAATGCTTCATCGTAAATTCCTTTCTAAAAAACAAGTCTTTTGTAAGTAAAAACTGAGATGTGAAAATTGTATTACTACTTCTAGCATGCTTTTTTTTTAAAAAAACTCATTTTATCCCTTCAGATTATGCACTCTAATATCTTCTAAAGCCCCATGCTGTAATGTGCACACTGAGATTCCATATGCATGGACTCCATAAATCATTGCAAATTTACAATGAAACTGGATGATTTCCAGATTTAAAAAATTGTATCCTTCGTACTGTTTCAGGAAAAGCACATCAAAGCATATTACTAACTCAAAATGCACTGTACCAGCAATAATCTTCAATCTTCTTCAGGGTAAGTTTATGGCTTCACAGCAATTAAAAGACAGCAATACATTGAACAGAAAAATGAACAGTCACACATATTATCTTTAGGAAAAAGGCACTAATTATTATACACCATAAATATAAAATAAAAATCAACACAGGAAAATGGTAGCTATTTTGCCAGCAGTAATGCAACCAACAACTTGCATGTTTTATCCTTCACCTTCTTGTTTAAGAACACTATCAACAAGAGTTGGACTGTATGGATCCAGAAAATTGTTAATTACTGTTGTAAGAAGGAGTGGTCCTGGCTTCCTTGAAAGAGGGAGTCTTACAGCTGCTCCTTACAAAAACTTGTGGGCTCTGGTAATTTCTAACAACTAGTATTCTGTCACAAATGCCACTTTTTTTGGCAAGACACCTGAATAAACAATGGCTTTGTGAATCCAGAATCTCTTTCAGAAACTGATTTTGTAGACCAATTTCATTTTTCAGGATGTCAGAGCTGGTTTTCACATGGAAATTATCATTAGGTCACCAAGAAAGATGCACTGAGCAGGGGCAGCAAAAATGTGACCCTCCCTTTTTTTCCTGTAATGACCTGGGTAGATGTTCTTGATGGAGGATCTAGCTAGGCTATCATCCTCAAGTTAGATGATGAAACCTGGCAGAAAAGAGTACACAAAAAGTAAAAAAATTAGGTGAAGGCCTTAACGATAACAGGGTTTGAAACAGCCCATACTAGAGACATGCTATCCTATGCAAGGCTTTGGTTATTTTCAGCTTGTTACTGAAAAAAAAAACATATTTATTCTGTTTTAGTAGGGGAGGGCTCTGAGCAACTTTAACTGCACAAGAAGGTTGTGCTCATGTGGGCTTCTGCCTTTACTTAGGCTGGAACTACACATAGCAAATAACCAACCAACAGTAGGTTTTAACAACAGGTTATCTACAATCCTGAGTGCAATAGTTCTTATCACACAGTTTAGTGTGGCAAAAACAGAGCCACTGACTGCCACCCCTCCTCCTTACCAGGCAAGAACAACACTAGCCAGATAGTGCCAAAGTAGCTAGGGAAGCCCCCGCAGTCGTGGATGCCTGTTAATGTCGTTTTTGCCCAGACTGCCAGCTTCATCTCCTGTTTTCACTGCATGTGGAACAGGCTTGCCCTTCCTTCTCTGCAGAGCTTGTATATCCAGTGGGTGACTAGCAGTGGTGGCTCGGAAACACATGTTGGCAGCAGTCTCCCTGTCCTTACCACTGCCTCTCCCTGTCCTCAACCAGCACAATCCAACAACCTAATGGACAAGCTAGAAACGCCAGCACTGCAGAAGAGAAATGGCTCTTTTAACCAGCTGAAGCCCTACTGTGCTTTAAAATGGTGCCCAATATGCACTATATTAAAGCACAGTAAGATAAGTGTAATGTCAAATGACAAAAGTTGCTTTGCATTGCCACTGTGTAATTCTGCCCTTAGCCCTATTTCCATAGGTCCAGGGGAAGTGGGGGGTTGCATGCAATTTTTTTTAATCTTAAGAAGTCTCATGCCCTTTAGCTGCCGTTTCTCTTTCACAACTCTGCCTTTTCTAAATATCTTAAAGTCTTGGAAAATAAAACCCCTCCCCACCCTAAAACCGGGTAGGGGGCATAATAAAATTGGCTGTGTATTCCCCAGAAGACTTTGAGAACATTTTTTTTAATGTAAAATTCTTTAGAGGGGACTGAGAGATGGGGACACAATTGAGCCCTTGGAAGCCTAAATAAAGCCAATTTCACCAACGCCTAACTTAGTCCAAGGTACTTACAATGACTGGACTCTATTTACATGGCACTTTTTAGATTGCCGAGACTCATTTGTTTTCCCTGCCCTGCCCTATCCTTGTTGAGATCTGGTCTTCTCCAATCCATTGGCTATTCCTGTGAAGTCTGGATAACTGCAGAACAGCACATCCTGAACCTTTATGATTTTCACATAGAAGATAAAAGTATATTCCTGGGCTGCCTATGAGAAAATAATCATGACCCTGTTGTAACAGTTCCACTGGCTGCTGATCCGTTTCCAAGCAAAATTCAAAGTGCTGGTTCTAAACTATAAAGCCCTAAATGGCTTGGGCCGAAGTATCTCAAGGACCGCATCCCCCTTTATAAACCTGCTTGATTGTTAGTATAATAGGACAGGCCGTCCTCTCAACCCCCACACTTTCACAGGTGTACTGTATTTGATGGGTACATGGGACAGGGCTTTTTCTGTTGCTGATCCTAGACACTGGAACTCCCTCCCACAGGAAGCTAGGCTGGCCTGATATTCACCATCCTTCTGCAAGCAGTCGAAGACCTTTCTGTTCAGGCAAGCTTTCCCTGAGTGAATGACTGCTGACTGGGTTTTTCAGACCCACCTTGTTGCACTTACTGCAATGAAAACAATACCCCAAAACATATGCTTTTTGATATTGTATTTATTGATCCTTTTAGTACTGCATACTCATTGTTACTAAATTAAATACTGTCTTTTAATTGCTGTCTTTTTAAAGGAGAAAGTTGGGTTAATTTTTTTTTAAATAAGTAAATCAATTAGAGCTAGCAGTGCAATGATTCTGTTACCTGTGTAAGTGGCAAAAGAAGACAGTCAAATGGAATCTCCTGACAATTGATGGTCTCTGTTATCTCCCGTGTTGTTTAAGATCTACAAAAAACTGCTTGAAGATGTAGATTGGGAATAATGATCTTGATGCCCATCTTCATTATTCTGTTACTTAAGTCAGGTAGGGCAGAAACAGTGCTGCCTGAACTTAACAATGGGGTGGGTGAAGAACAATGCCCAGTCTTGACTAGGCAGAAGCACTGTGAGTGCACGGTTCCCTATTCTGCCAAAAATAGAAAACACCTTCTTTGATGAAAAAAGGTTGGCAGCTTGGGAGTTCTCTTATTGCTCTTCCTGGCAGCCTGAGTTGGCAGCCAAAGACTCAGAACGCTCCTTTGGTTTTCTGCTCTACCCAGTATTGCCAGAGATTGACACCTCACCTAGATGCAGGGACACAGGTTTCCACAGTAATTTTCCAGGATGATGTCTTCCTAGCACCAAGCGCTGAAATAGTGTCTCTGCTTTTTAAAATCTGTGACCACTGCTAGGTACTTTTTTTAAAAAAAAAATTGTATCACACAGCTCAAAAGGATAATTTACACAATTCAGCCAGCCAAGAAAAAATGTGCTTCCTAAGAGAGGATTTTACATTCAGCCATACCCAGGAACCACGGAAAAGTTATGAAAGGTGAAGCGGGAATAATACAATGCCATTTATCATTAATAAAAGGCGAGGGAAGACTGCAACCCTTACAATCGCTGCGACTTCAGGACACGGGAAAAAATGGCAAGTCTATGACGCCTCACAGCGGTATTTTAGGAGCCTTGCAGACTCTGAAACAGGAGTGGTTAGAAACCGCCTTTAGAAGGGCACCCTATTCTTTCGCAACTTGGGCTGACTTAGTCTAAATGACGATGACAGAGGAACAAGAAACAGCAGGTTCACTTCGAAATGCACAGAATCCAAAAATTGTGGTTTTTAAACAAGCAGCCATTTTAGCCTCAGGCAAATATATACAAAAACCTCGTGGCACCTTAAAAACGATTAAATTTTAATGGGAGTTTTCCTTGGTGCTGTAGAAAATACAGACTGCCTTACGAAGGCGGGAGGAGTAACAGCAAAATCATCCCCTCCAGCCACCCCCTTGGGGAAGACTAGAGAGGGGGCGGGGCAGAGAGCAAGAGGGATGCTCCGAAGTGGGCGTTCCAAACTAACAATGCGCATGCGCTGACTGCCGGAGGGGGGGAGGGGAATCTCATCGCGAATGACAGGCGGGGCTTGTTACCTTGTTAACGGCGGCGTGTTCCCGTAATGCCAGGTCCCAGAAACGACAACCTATCTGGTTCCCGCACTGTCCCACTATAAGAGGAGGTGTAAAGAAGCGGCAAGAAAGAGGTTACGAACAACAAAAACCTGACGGGGCTGGCGGAAGAAATAAAAAGCATGGGAAGAGCACAATAGATAATTCCTCACCCTGAATCACCACTGACTGCGTCATGGCCGCCGCTCGCGCCCAAAAGATTGCGCCCGATAGGCTTTGGTCCGGGGTCCCGCCCACTCCTGATTGTACGTTTAAAAAGGCGGGTTGCGCTAAGGCACGCTGGCCCTCAGGTGCGCGCGCGCGCGCCTGGGGACAACGGAAAGTCGAAGAGAAAAACCGTTGTAGCGGTTGCTTTGGGCGCATGCGCTGCTTGCTTTTCTGCCCGCTTGCCTCTCTCGATTCTGTCCCTTCAAGAATGAAGTGGCTTACGGTTATTTCTAGCCGGCATAGTCTTCTGAGGAAAAGGAGGGAGACGCCCCTTACATGTTTCTAGCGCCAGACATATGATTTGGAGGTTGATTTGCTGCTGTCGGGCAGCCCCTTTTCTCAAAACAGCTACTAAGAAAAGATCCCTCGATGTTTGGTCACCATACAAGGGGAAAGCAAGCAGGGCTTTTTTAAAATGCTTTCAGGTGTTTCATTTCATGCATTGTGGTGGTGTACAGAGCCATAATTATGAAAATGTTGTTGGTGTCAAATTATTTCCTGACTTCACTGCATATGCCTGTGTTTTGCTACTTTGTTATGTTTGTGGTGGTTTAGCTTGCTGCCTCCAAAGAAATAGCCCTGTTAGCCTGGCTCAGTGTGTTGGGGGGAAAAAGCAAAATTGCATGGCACTTTGAAGAACAAAGAATCTTATACTAGTGGGAGTATTTGTAGACTGAAATTCTCTTTCTTGTTTTCACTGGACTCAGATGTTTGGTTTCCACTTCAAGACAGTGAAAAAAAAAGGGCCAGAATGAAAAAAACTGAAGTTGAATTCTTCCAAAAGAGAGTTACTGTAAATTGGTGGTTCTTGGGTGGAGAAACTAGAGGAACTACTTGCTCAGGATGCAGTAACACTTCTATAAAAGGAATATGTGTGTTGAAGAACATTAATAGATTTTTTTTAAAAAAACATGTCCAGTATCTAGATTTTTGCCCTGAATAAAATCTATTTGTGCCAAGAAGCTGAAGCACAAATATTCAGAATCAATAACAAACTAACAAACAGCTGACAAAACTGGATAGGCCAGTGGTTTAGGTAGCCAGAGGTTGGGAGTTCAGTTCCCCACTCTGCCTTCTTGACGGGCTGGACTGAGTCCATAGGGCCCCTTCCAGCTCTGCAGTTCTAAGATGATGATTCATTATAAAAAGGTCTTACCCCACTCCCAATAACCTGCATTAGTTTACAGTAAATGCAATCTAAACTTGTATTCATCTAAAAGATTGAAAATTCATTATCCCAAAGTTAACTTTACATTTTAAAATTAATTGAATCTATTAAATACACAGACACAATGCTGTCACAGCACTGCTGCCTAGTAGTAAAAATCATATGCAGCTTCAGATGGAGAAAAATGAAAGCCACAAGCTGAATCAAGATTCTTCTTGAAAATGAGAGGGCTTCCATGCGAGCTTCAGGACGTTTAAGAGAGAAATCGGAAACATTTTACTTCAAAACTTCACTGTGGTTGATAATGTCATCATTGGGTTAATTTATGTGTGAAGGAGAGAGAGCCAGTGTGCTATCCTCCACAGAACAGAGGACTGAGGAAAACCACAGCTGTGTAGAGGGCATATTGGTAGAAACAGACCAAGAGAGAGAGGAATGGAAAGGGTCGCTAGAAGTGTCTGGCTAACGAGAAGGGGGAGGAGCTAGACTTAATTATCTGCGAGGAGGATATAAAAGAGGAAAAAGGTGCGCAAAGTTTTAGAATTGTAACGGGCAGCGAGCAACCTGAAGGAAAGATCAAGCTGTGCAGACAGAACTAGGCTTTGGGCAAGAGGGTTATACCAAGCTGATGGGTTATCCCAAACCTCCAGATTGGGGGAGGTTTATTACCTGACTTGAAGGATTTCCATGCAAAGGGAGAAGACTTAGAGCCACTAGAATGGACTGTGTCCCCTCGCAACCAGCGTGGGGGGGAGGAGGGTGATCCATCCCAGTCCCTCTTTACTCCAGCCACAACGCGAGGGGGACTGGGCGTGATACCCATGCTGTGAGACAGACTGTGCCGTGAGGAGCACCCCACTGAGGCCCATGACTGGTAGGGAGCGGTTTGGACCGGCCCCTCGGTGAGTAGTGACATCAAGACACCAGGTGTTAAGGTGCGAAGTTACCACCTTTTACCTGAGTTGAGTTTAATGGATCCTTTTGAACCTGTTGAATTTGTTAAATAATAAACAAAACTATGTTAGATCATCTGAACGGCCTCCGACTCTCTTTCCCATGCAAACACAGGGGTCGCCCTCAGCAAAAGACGAATCTCATCACATTATGGCAACAGGATTTCAGCCAATAACGGCTGGTGTATTATCTTTATATTAAAAATGTCCCAGGCTCATTATATTATAATTGAATATTATAATTTAAAGCAGAGAAGAACTGGGGAAAACTCATTTTCCTCCTTCTGCCAGCTAGCAAGAAAGACAAAGACTGATATCTGTGTCCTACTGTTTCTTCTGGCTT